AGAAGTTGTTAAAAATTGTCTCAGAGTACACTATAACAAATCAACTTTAACAAAATCATATGTTTCTAATAATATACCCTTTTTGCGAGATAAGTATTTCCCTCTTCTTTCCAAGCTTTTGATGTTTTCTCTCATTTTCTAATATTGTTAGGGACGTTTATATGATTACGTGATCTCTAATTTGAGAATAATCACAGAGATTTATTAATAAAAACAGTCTAGGCCGGGCGCGGTGGCTCAAGCCTGTAATCCCAGCACTTTGGGAGGCCGAGGCGGGTGGATCACGAGGTCAACAGATCGAGACCATCCTGGTCAACATGGTGAAACCCCGTCTCTACTAAAAATTACAAAAAATCGGCTGGGCACGGTGGCACGTGCCTGTAATCCCAGCTACTCCGGAGGCTGAGGCAGGAGAATTGCCTGAACCCAGGGGTCGGAGGTTGCGGTGAGCCGAGATCGCGCCATTGCACTCCAGCCTGGGTAACAAGAGCGAAACTCCGTCTCAAAAAAAAAAAAAAACAGTCTAGAATGCTAAAAGGAATAAAATTCAATATATTACTGAACTCATAGAGATAATTCCCAAACTACAGTGGTTCAATAGTGTGAAAGCAATATGTGTTCAGTAGAAACTGTACTTGGAGATTCTGAATTTTAGTCTTTTTCCAGGATAGTAATATGCAGTTTGAAATTCTCTCTCACTGACGGAAAGCAGCAGTGAGCTGCGGCTCCCATTCAGTCACTCAATCACAAGGGTAACAACACAACACTCTACAGTGTGTTGTGTTGCCAGATGATTTGCCCAGCTATAGGTTAATGTAAGTGTTGTGGGCACATTTAAGGTAGGCTATGCTAAGCTATATTTTCAGGTAGGTTAAACGTATTCAATGCATTTTCAAGTTATAATAGGTTTACTACCATATAACTGTACCGTAAGTCAAAGAGAATCTCTATATATTATTTCAATATGCGGATGTAACAAAAATGGTATGTTCAACTTTTGATTTGTGGCCAGGCAAGGTGGTTTATGCCTATAATCCCAGTACTCTGGGAGGCCAAGGAGGGAGAACTGCCTGACCCCAGGAATTTGAGAGCAGCCTGGGTAACATGCTGAAATTCCATCTCTTAAAAAAAAAAAAAACATAATCAGCCAGGTGTGACGGCACATGCCTGTAGTCCCAGCTACTCAGGAGGCTGAGGTAGGAGAATCACCTAAGCCCGGGGATGTCAAGGCTGCAGTGAGCTCTGATGGCACCACTGCACTCCAGCCTTGGTGACAGAGTAAGACACTGTCTTAAAAAACAAATGTAAGTTATGCTAAAATTGTGTCACATATAGTATGAAAAATCTCAATAAAATTTTAGAATCACTTTTCATCACCTAAAACTTTAAAGAAATAAAAGCCATAAAGCTGTTTTTATTGTTCCTATGGTATTACTATTAACATTTTTTACAGTGTTCCTGTATCTACATGCTACTTAAACAGTTTCATTTTAGACGGTCTTAACAAATCACTTGTACTCTATGTTTCAATATAAAGGCTGACATAATGTTGAAACCAACTTCAATTTAAAAATATTATAGTCCTCATCTTAAATAGATACTTCCAGTTGATTACTGTGTAAAACTGTCAAGTAGAATTTTTAAGTGTCATTCTTAAAAGCATGTCTTTAAATACATCTTGATGCCAGAGGAGTTTTATTCATTCTACTGCAGTTGAGAAAGAGAACCAGAATGAGCCTTCTAACTCCGACCCAGTTCTTTCATTATTTAGCTTGAGTTCCTGGACACATCACTTAACCCTGACAGTAAAAGTGATGAGGCCACAGTAAATTGTGTCTCATGTCCCTTCTTATCCTAACAACCAGGGTGTCCAAATGAACGGCCAGATAAAGTTCTGGTACGTCATCCTTAGGGGATTCTAGAACACCAGGACAGGGTTTAATTCTCATGCAAAGATTTAGACATGAATGTAAATGAGGGAAGGGAGACTACCTAAGGTTAAATGTTCTTTCAATTAGACCTTTATGTTTACATCACACTTTTTTGCCACTGCTTTACCTATTAAAATATATTTATTGAATCTCTACTATGTGGCAGGATTTGAAGATACAAAGATGAAAGATTCCCTCAAAGAGCTTTCAATTCTGGTTGGGAAAGATAGATTTCTAAACAATTAAATACACTAAGTTGCATTAGTTTCTACAGTAGATATCTAGGGGATAAGAGGATTAGAGGATAAAATGATCACTTCCATAAAATGATCTGAATTTTGGAGAATCAGAAAAGGCCTTTATTTTAAAAGTGACATTTGAAATAAGTCTCTATGAAAGATCACTTATACAATATGAAAAGGAAATTAAGAAAATAACTACATTAACATTATAAATAAAATTATAAAATACTTAGAAATACAAAAATTATAAAATACTTAGGAACAAACTTAACCAAGGAGATAAAAGATACATACTCTGAAAACTATAAAACATTGCTAAAAGAAATTAAAGAAAATACAAATAAATGGAAAGATATCCTGCCTGTTTTAATGAACTGAAGGACTACATATTGTTAAAATGCCAATACTGCTCAAAGCAATCTAATGATTTAATGTAGTCCTATCAAAATCCCAATTGTATTTTCTGCAGAAATGTTAAAAATCCATCCTAAAATTTATATTGAACCTCAATAATCTCTGAATAGCAAAAGAATCTTGATAAAGAAGATCAAAGTTGGAAATTTTACACTTCTGATTTCAAAAGTTATTACAAATCTACAGTAATCAAGACAGTGTGATCCATGCATAAAGACAAACACAGAGACTAATGAAATAGAATACAAAGTTCCAAAATAAACCCTCATATGTACAGTTGCTATGGTCTGAATGTTTGTATCCCTCCAAAATTCTTATGTTGAAACCTAATCCCCAAGGTAATGGTATTAAGAGGTGGGGCCTTTGGGAGCTGATTAGGTCACAAGAGGTCTGCTTTCATGAACTGGATTACTGCCCTTAAAAGAGATTTAGGGCTCCTAAATCCCTTTGTCTTTTGTCTTTGTCTCTTTTGCCTTTTGACCCTCTACCATGTGAAGATACAGCACTCTCCCCTTCCACTAGGTGAGGGTGCAGCAACAAGGTGTCACCTGTGAAGCAGAGAGCCCTCTCCAGACACCTAAATCTGCTGGTGCCCTGATCTTGAATTTCCAGATTCCAGAACTGTGATGAATAAATTTCTGTTTTTTATAAATTACCCAGTCCAGGTATTTTGTTTTAAAGGCAGGAAAGGACTGCAACAATGGTCAAATGGTTTCAACAAGGGTGCCAAGACCATTCAATGAGAAAGGACAGTTGTATTAAGCCAAATTCGCATTGCTATAAATAAATATCTGAGACTGGGTAATTTATAAGAAAAGAGACTTAATTGGCTCACAGTTCTGCAGGCTGTACAGAAAGTGTAATGCCAGCATCTCCTTCTGGGGAGGCCTCAGGAAGCTTACAATCATGGCAGAAGGCAAAGGGAGAACAGGCATCTCATACTGTGGGATCAAGAATAACAGAGAGAGGGGAAGGTGCCTCATATTTTTAAATGACCAGATCTCTCAAGCACTCACTCACTAGCATGAGGACAGTACCAAGAGGATAATGATCCAATCACCTCCCACCAGCCCCACCTACAACATTGAAGATTACATTTCAACATGAAATTTGGGAAGGGATAACATTCAAACTACATCAGCAGTCTTTCAACAAATGGTGCTAGGAAAACCGGTTATCCACATGCAAAAGAATGAAGTTAGTCCCATACCTTACACCATATATAAAAATTAACTTGAAATGGATCAAAGATCTAAACATAAGAGCTAAAACTATAAAACTCTTAAAAGTAAACAGAGGGAAAGTTTTAAGACATTAGATTTGGCAATGATTTCTTGTGTAACACCAAAACACAGGCAACAAAAGTAAAAATAGATAAATTGGACTACATAGTAATTTAAAACTTTTGTGCATCACAGGATATAACAGAATGAAAAGGGCATCTATGGAATGAGAGAATTATTTGCCAATCATAAATGTGATATAAGAGGTTAATACTCAGAATGTAAAGAATTCCTACAAATCAACAACAAAAAAACAAACAACTTGGTTTAAAAGTGGAAAAAAAAATTGAATAGGATTTCTCTCTAGAAGAAACACAAATGACAAAAAGCACAGAAAAGCTGTTCAGAATCCCTAATCATTCAAGAATTGCAAATCAAAACCATAGTGAAATACCCCCGCACACCCATTAGAATGGCCGTTATCAAAAACATAGAAAATAACAAGTGTTGGAGCCCTTGTACACTGCTGCTCGGAACGTAAAATAGCACCGCTGCTATAGAAAACCTTATGGCAGTTCCTCAAAAAATTAAAAATAAAACTACCATATGATATAGCAATTCTACTACTGGTTACATACCCAAAAGATCTGAACTCAAGGTCTTGGAGAGATATTTATACACCCATGTTCATAGCTGCATTATTCACAATAGCCCAGAGTCCATCGACAAACCCAAGAGTCCATCAACAGATAACTAGATAAGGAACAAAATGTGGTGTGTACATATACTATGGAATATTTTAAAGCATTAAAAAGGAAGAAAGTTCTGACACATGATAGAACATGGATGAACCTTAAGGACATCATGTTAAGTGAAATCATCCAGACACAAAAAAGATAAACACTACATGATTTCACTTCTGTGAGGTAGCTACAGTAGTTAGTCAAATTCATAGAGACAGAAAGTAGAATGGTGGTTGCCATGAGCCAGGGGAAGGAGAGAACAAGGATTTGTTTTTCATGGGTATGGAGTTGCCATTTTGCAAAATTAAAAAGTTTCTGTAGGTTGGTTGCACAATAATGTGAATATACTTAACACTACTGAACTATATGTTTTTAAAAAGTTCAGATGGTAAATTTCATATTATGTGTACTTTACTACAGTTAGAAATAATTTTTTTTTTCCAAAAAAAATCTTTATGTTCCTTTATTGGAGCAAGATTCCTGATCGGTATACAGTGAAGTATTTACTAAACAGAGACCTGTGCAGAAATTACATACTATCCATCTAGACAGGTTGTTACACTTTTGCCTATTGATGGAATAGTTCCATTTATCAAGTTTTATACATCAAAAAGCTTTTGAATTTCACCAGACTGTCCATTAATTCACCTCTGAAAAAGTGGCATTTAATTTCAGCTACTATATTTTACAGCATTAAAAAGCATATGCATTAGGGTGCTTCTCTGCACAATGGCATTGAGCAGACAGAGCTGAGTCCATTATTCCACCCAGATTCACATAGTCACATTTGAGAACTTTATACCAGAGAGCTGGGACAGTTACCGCCAACCATCGCAGACTCCTACTCTGAGAGCCTATCTCCTTGGCCACATTTTATATAGCCAATGAAGACATGCCAGTAACTGTCCCACATATAACTTGGCATGAGAGCACCAGGTCTGTTGGATGGTGGTGGCAGGTACTATTATTTTATATCCAGGTAAATGGCCAATTTTAAAAACTGCCACTTGGAGATAAAAATCAAGGGCACAATATACTCAAAGTATTGAGCAATCTGGTATCCCAAATGATGTGAGTACTTTCAGAAACCAATGGCAAATTGTACCCACTTTCCCAGCTATGGCGGTATCAATACATTGATTCAGATCCCGTTACTCAATCCACATAGCCCTGAGGTCATCCTGCAAAGTGCATATCAAAAAATACGAAGTTAGGGTGACAAAGTTTGACAGTGATGTTGTCCAAGTCAAACTTGGAAGGTCATAGTGAGCAGACCTGTGCTGAGAGAAGAGCATCAAATCCTTTGTGTACACATTTAGTTTTATTGTAACAAAGCAACTTGTACACTTTTAACGTTTAAAACTGAGCATCATCTTTCCTTTCCAGTGAAACAAAAAGAAAATTTAAAAATAAACAGGAACAAAATTACAATAGAGAATGTCAATTCCAAATAAGATCCTACAGGTTCTGCTGATTCTCCCATTGAGTGGCAGGGCTCAAGTCATCATTAGGAGAGAATTTATTTTAAAAGTGTCATCTTAAACTGCAAGGATGTCTGTCAAATGTCACAATTAAACATGCCAAAGGAGAAGCCATGTTGTCACAATGCCCACTTACCCCACCCAAACATCTCAAACCCACCCTTTGCTGACCTTCTATAACCCCATTTTTTTAAGTTTTTTTTTCTTTTTTTTAAACAAGAGAAAGTAGACAGATACATGTTGGTAAATGCTAACTGTCCATATTCACATAGAGACACAGTGTACTCTCTGAGCCCAATATACAGAGAAAGGAGGAAAAAAGCTAGAATTCTATGCACTACTACACAGGGGCCTAGCACCCTCCAGCTTCCAGCAGAGCGAAGGGAGCAGGTTTTTCTTTTTTCCCACAGAGCTCAGTGGTATTGATTCCATACAGTTTTTGTTAAGACAGGAAGGGATAAAAATGAATTTCAAACAGAAAGGGGTAGAGACTCTTTTCCCACTGTATCCTGCTCAAGATATTTCCCCCCAAAATAAGTTGAGAACCATGGTGTAGAGAAAAGAGACCTCAAAAACAGGGTGACTGAGCACAAGAGGGAAGGGAAAAAAAAAAAAAAAGACTGCAACTTGCTCCCAGGGACTGGAGAAAATTTAAAAAAAGGAAGGTTGGAATCCATCAGTGTTCTTAGTCATCTTCTCCTTCATCCTCCTCTCCTTCCTCCCCTTCATCATCATCTTCATCTTCTTCACCTTCATCCTCATCCCCTTCTTCATCAATGTCTTCTAATCCTTCCTCCTCTTCATCATCGTCATCATCTTCTTCTCCTTCATCATCATCCATATCAGGAACCAAGTAGTATTGTAATGGGTTTGGCCAAATATCATCTTTGATGACCTCTCCTAATTCATCAGCACCTGCATCAGAATGGTCAGTAAACCAGGTAAAGAAGCTCTCTGGTTCCTCATGCTGCCTCTTCCTGCTGGCTTTATTCTGCGTTTGACTTGAACGTTTTGTCAAATCCTTTCCAGATTTCCATTTGATTTCAGTGGACTTTGAAGATGGATCACCACTCTCATTCAGATGAAATTCTTTGGGAGAGAACTTTATTTTCAAAGTAAGGATTTTCATCAAAATAAAAATCTATTCTGTAACCTGATTTAATATCTTCAAATTCTGTCACTTCAACTCTGGTCAAATAATGCAGTGCCTCTTCGTCCTCCTCCCCAAGCAGTGCAGACACTTGTGGATGGTTGACAAATGTTGTTACCCAAAAATTTGGGATTTTGGCGATCAATTCTGACCTCTTCTGAAAAAATGGTTGGCGGAGTTTGTTATATTTCTGTTCTACTTTCAAAATCTCCTAACTGGCTTGTTCATTAAGTCTGTCTATTTCATTTTGTACTTCATCAATGTGTTCAATTGCTTCTTGCTGTTCTTTTTCTCCCTTCTTCGGCAAGCCTGCAGAGGCCGATGTCTCAACCAGTCCCTGAGCAGGAGGTGGTCTTGGTTTCTTCTTTTGAGGCGGGAGTGGAGACTGGCGTTTGGGGGCCATGCTGCTGGGGAAGTCCGAGAACCGGAGCACAAGTCTTCTTGCTCGTCCGGAAGCAGGCAGAACACTGACCAGAAATAATTTTTTTTCTTTAGATGGAGTCTTGCTCCATCACCCAGGCTGGAGTACAGTGGTACAATCTTGGCTCACTGCAACTGCCGCCTCTTGGGTTCAAGTGATTCCTCTGCCTCAGCCTCCTCAGTAAGTAAGATTACAGACACCCACCATCATGCCTGTCTAATTTTTTAGTAAAGACAAGGTTTCACCATGTTGGTCAGGCTGGCTTCGAACTCCTGACCTCAAGTGATCCACCCAACTCGGGCTCCCAAAGTACTAGGATTACAGATGTGAGCCATCATGTCCGGCCAAAAGTAATTAAAAAAAAAAAATAGATCAGTGGTTGTCTGATCATGTGAAGAATGTGAAGGCATGCCATGGGATGACAGCAGCATCAGCTAAGGCATGAAGACATGACATGGCCCAGTGCCTCAGGGGACCTGTAAGTAGTTAAGCATGTCTTAAACAATGGGTGCAGTGTGGCGACACAAGAAATAAGGCTAAATACACAGGCAAGAATCAAGGAGCTGAGAATCTCAAATGACACAGCAAGAAGAATGAATTTTATCCTATATCCAACATTAAGTCAGTAAATGCTTTTAAGCAGGGAGCATAAAAATAATTAGTAGTGTGCTTTAGAAAAAGAGCCTGAAAGCAAAGGGCCAGACTATAGACCAGGAGACTTATTACAGTAGCAATAAGATGAACAGAGCCAGAACTGAGGCACAGCAATAGGAACAGAAAGTAGAGAACAATGGAAGTGATATTTAAGAGAGAAAATTTAGAGCATTTCATGACTATGAATACCTAAAATGACTGATACTGGGATCTAGGATGACACCTGGATTTCTTGATATTCCTCATAGAATAGGGAGATCGACCATGATGGTAAATACAAAAAGAGAAACATGGGGCTGGGCACAGTGGCTCACACCTGTAATCCCAGCACTTTGGGAGGCCGAGGCAGGCAGATCACCTGAGGTCAGGAGTTCGAGACCAGCTTGGCCAACATGGTGAAACCCCATCTCTACTAAAAATACAAAAATTAGCCGGAAGTGGCAGCAGCCACCTGTAATTGCAGCTACTCGGGAGGCTAAGGCAGGAGAATCATTTGAACAAGGAAGTGGAGGTTGCTGTGAGCTAAGACAGCGCCACTGCACTCCAGCCTAGGTGACAGAGTGAGACTCCATCTCAAAAAAGAAAAAAAAGAAAAACATGGTTAAGCAGAGTCAGGTTCAGAAATCTAAAAATACAAACACTACAGGAAAAAAAGAGATAAGCTAATAAAGAAAACTGAGAAGACACATTGAGAGAAGTATTAAAAAATACACAAAACAAAACAAAAAGAAAAAACAAGCAAGTGGTGTCTCAGAAGCCAAAAGGAGAATTTAAAGATGGGAGTTCTTGGTTGTGTGAATAAATCTAGAGCATCTGTTAGATTCAGCGATCGATTACAAAGCCATCGGGGCCCATGATGTGGCATGTAGTGAAGTAGGCCATAGCCTACTGACTGCAGGACGTTCAAGAAAGGACAGTAATGAACTAGAGATGGAGAATACAGGCAACTCTTGTAAAGATTCTGGGTAGGAAAGGAACAATGCAGAAGCTAGCAAGAGATTCAAGATCAAGAGAGTATTCTGATTTTTCTGTAGTTAATTCTAAGAGTTTTTAACTTTGTTTTTCATTTGTTTGTTTAGTGATAGGAAAGGTGTTATTGAGCTAGTAAAGTTGGGGGAGAGGAGGTAATGAAGAGAAAGGGTTGAAAATGCAGACACAGAGAGGGAGGAAGTAACTGGTACAGCAAGATCCTGATTGAGACCAGCAGATCAAGAAGACAGCTGAAGGAGTTAGTCTTAACTAGATAAAGGACACCTCTTTTCCTAAAACTGTATGAGAATTTAAAAGCCAAATGCACTAGCAGATAGGTTTACTAAGCACAGGGACTTGAAGTGAGCAGACCCCAGCCTCAGTGCTATCTGCTGGGAGAGGGGCAGGAGGTTATAGTTGCTCCAGACAGGAGGCTACAGCAGCAACAGCAGACATGAGAAAAAATGAGCAGGAGCAGTGGACCTGCTGAGCCAAGGCTCTGAGTGTGGAAGACACACATTTGCAGGAGAACCAACCTACATGACTGTGATTTCTTCATTTTCTCATTCTTTTCACACATATTGATTAACAGCTTTTTTTTTTTTTTTTTGAGACAAGGTCTTTCTCTGTCACCCAGGCTGGAGTATGGTAGCATATTCACAACTCACTGCAGCCTCAACCTTCCAGACTCAAGCAATCCTTCCACCTCAGCCACCTGAGCAGCTGGAATTGAGGCATGCACCACCATGCCCTGGTAACTTTTTCTATCTCTTGTAGAGAAAAGGTCTCACTATGTTGCCTAGGCTGCTCTTGAACTGCTGGGCTCAAGCAATCTCCTCCTCAGCCTCCCAAAGTGCTGGGATTTTGTGAGCCTTAACACTTTAAGTGTCACACACTATAGAAGGTACTAGGTATACAATCGTGATCAAAACAGTCATGATCCTGGCCCTCGTGGGGAGCCTCATCTAGCCACAAAGACAGTCAATCAAATAGACAATAACAGGCCAGGAGCAGTGGCTCATGCCTGTAATCTCAGTACTTTGGGAGGATGAGGCAGGCAGATCACTTGAGGTCAGAAGTTTGAGACCAGCCTGGCCAACATGGCAAAACTCCATCTCTAATAAAAATATAAAACTTAGCTAGGTATAGTGGCAGACGCCTGTAATCCCAGCTACTTGGGAGGCTGAGGCAGGCAAATCACCTGAACCCGGGAGGCAGAGGCTGAGGCAGGTGAATCACCTGAACCCGGGAGGCAGAGGTTGCACCCAAGCTCATGCCATTGCACTCCAGCCTGGGCAACGAGAGCAAGACTCCATCTCAAAACAAATAAACAAACAAAAAACTGAATAGACAAAAACGTAATCACAACCTGTGATGAGACCTATGAGGGCATCCCACTGGGTACAGTGATGGAGAACTTACTTGTAAAAATACTCTACTCACAGTGGACAGGGACTCTCTGAAGCGGTAACATTTGAGATCCTAAGAATGAAAAGGTCTAAGCAGAAGGAATCCTCAGGCATTTTCAGAAGATCCATGGCAGAAAGGACTTTGTTGAGTCCAGTACCCGTAAGAAGCAAGTGTAACTAGGGCACAGTGGGCAAGGAGAGAGAGCCATGATAAGGCAGGAGATGTAGGCAGCAAACCAGAACATGGAGGATATTGTGGGCCACAGCAAGGAAGGTGGATTTTATTTTGCCCAGGTGTTGGGGCAAAAAAACAAATGACTGAATTGGATCTGCCATTGGCATCTCCGAGCCAGGTCAAACAGAAGGAGACAGGACAACTGAAAGAGCCACCAAGAGTGACATACCCTGAGGCCTTGTCTAGTTTAAGAATGAATACATCCACGCTGTCCTGGAAGAGGCCAGGCCTGGGTGAGGTTCCAGAGTATTAGTAGTAGAGGAAAGGAGGTAACTAGAATGGGAAATTGTAGCAATAGCTATGTCTGAGTTTAAGGTCTCAGAAATATACTTATGCACGACAGAGTGGTGTATGGGTGTAGCCTGCTAATGTTAAAGAAGTCAAGGGATTTTAAGAAAAGCAATGGCTGTGATGGAAGCAGTGGGAATGGATTATTTATCATTAATAATAATAGCTACCATCTATTTCACATTGTCTGTGTGCCCAATACTGTGCTAAGCACTTTGTATAGATTATCTCACTTTATTTTCAGAACAGGTATTATTAAGCACACTGTACAAATAAAGAAACTGAAAGATTTGGGAAGTGAAAGAAATTGCTTAAAGCCACTCAGGTGATAACAGGCTGCACAAGAATACAAATAGTTGTGACTGACTCCAAAGCTCACTTTGTGCCAGGATGGCTCAACAGGTTGCACTCATTCTACTGAAGGAAGCAATCATTGCAATGTGAGCTATGAAGCAAAATCCTCAAAATAGGAGAGGAAATATTCAGATGACAGCAAAAAGAGAAGCAGAAGGTAGCAAAACCAGATAACATGAACTACAATAAGGAAAGGCCTTTGTCACTTTGGGAGGCTGAGGCAGGAGGATCACCTGATGTCAGGTGTTCGAAACCAGCCTGGTCGACATGGTGAAACCCCATCTCTTCTAAAAATACAAAAATTAGCTAGGTATGGTGGTGGGAACCTGTAACCTCAGCTCCTTGGGAGGCTGAGACAGGAGAATTGCTTGAACCCAGGAGACAGAGGTTGCAGTGAGCCGAGATAGTGCCATTGCATGCCAGCCTGGGCAACAAAAGAAAAAAAAAAAAAAGGAAAGCCCTTTGTGTGAGGATAGAACAGAGACAAAGCAACAAAGAATTAAGAGAACGTGGATGACAGCTCTGAGTCCTGTGGAATGTGGAATTGAATGAAATGAGCAGCCCTCCCCTAGAGGAAGCTGTGATCTCAATCAGATAAAAGCCAAGTTTCAGCTAAAGCAAGATGTGTTCCTGGAAAATGTTTAGGGAGTCCAGTCGCTAATTTACAATGTAACAGACTAGTATAGTGATTAAGAGCACAGAATCTGGAATCAGATTGCTTGGGTTTGAGTCCTGGTTCTACCATGTATGAACAAATTACTTCTTTGTGCCTCAGTTTTCTTGCTAAATGGAAGTGATGACAACAGTCCTCCTATGGTTAGGATGTGGTTTGTCCCCACCAAAATTCATGTTGAAAATGATTCCTGATGTGGTAGCGCTGAAGATGGGACCTTGTGGGAGGTGTTTGGCTCACAAGGGTGGATCCTCATAAATATATGAATGCCTTACATCAGAAGCATGTTCTCACTTTAACAGGACTGGATTAGCTATTGAAGAGTGTGCTCTTATAAACGTGAATTAGGCTTCCTGGATTCTCTCTTGCTTCCTCTATCAACACGTGATCTCTTTGCACTCACTTTTCCACTTCCCAGCATGTGGTTCTCACCAGAAACAGGCCAGTGCGGTGCTATGCTCTTGAACTTCCCAGACTGCAAAATTGTGAGCTCAATAAATGTCTTTCCTTCATAAATTACCCAGCCTCAGGTATTCTGTTATAGCAACACAAAATGAATTAAGACAGCCCCTACCTCACAGGTTTGTTAGGACTAAATTAATATTTAATAAGATAATTAGAATAATGCCTGGTACAAAATCAGTCCATTTAGAATGTCTTTGATTGAAAATCAAGCAAATAAAAGAGGTGAGAATAAAAAGGATTAACAGAGAGGCGAGAAAAGGAAGGATGGAAGAAATGCTTGGAGGCATAAGCAAACAGAGGCAGGGTAGGAAACTGCGCCTCTAGTGGTCTCAATGGTGCAGGACGGTGAATGCAGCCGTCCTCGTTGAGAAGATAAGCTGGTCTTTGATAGGTTCTAAGTGAAGTGTGGCTAAGTTATTTTGATGTTTCTGAAGGGAACCTAGCCCAAGCCATTAAAGGTCAGCAGGCTGCTGGGACACCCACCAGCTTGTGGTGGTTAGAAGTCCAAGACTTCATGTAGTAACAGAGCACCCTAGAAGGGCTTAAAGATACCAGAAACTGAACAGATTCTTCACAAGGAGCAGAAAACACAGTGTATTCTCTCCACCTTTTGGGGAAAATGACAGTCAAAATAAAAGAAAACATAATGTTCAAATGAACATTCTAAAAATTTATTTTTTTATTGTATGAGATAAATGTACTTAGGATCTTTTATGCTAACCAAGGGCACTCTTCTATTAAAAAAAAACAATATTTGCAAGAACTACTATAATTCTAGTGGGCTAAATTTTTAGCAATCTCTCAATCTAACAAACTTCTTAACAAAATTACACATGGCTGGAAAAAAATGAATGAAATCACATATCCATTTCTATGCAAAAAGCTTTTCAGTGCAATTTCATCATTCATTATAAAATGTGGGAACATGCCATATAAATGCCAAATGTTCGAT